TCTCTGAATTATTAGATAATACAACCTATAATTCAACTCCAATTATGACTTTTCAAGGATCAAGAAACTTCAATTTCATTCCTTACTAAATAAATCCAAATTCCTTGGTCTAGCATTAAAAGGTTTCCATGTTCTAAGTCAAACCAAAGTTTCTTTTACTTTGTCTTCTTGCTATTCCTTTTTAAATATGCTCAAATTTTTTTTCTATGCCTGCTCTCTGTCTAATCTGGTAAATAAATGTCAGGTGCTCTACAAAAGTTTACTCCCTTTCATATAAGTGTGCTACATGCTCCCTCCCTGTACCATTTTAATTGACAGGAAAACATCCCATCATTCTATATATTTGATCTTCACAATGAAAATCAGAATGTTCATGGGAAAGCCTGTAAAATCTAAGAAACAGACTATAAAAGAAAAGCACTGTGACTGAGTTCCAATGTCAAAGGAAAATGGTAGTAGCAAGTAAGATGTCACAAAAGTATCAGAATATCTGAAAAAGTAAAAATCAATACAACCTGAATCAGGGCTGGGGTTGTGGCTAAGCGGTAGAGAACCTAGCACGTACGAGGCTCTGAGTTCAATCTTGGCACCACATAAAATAAATAAAATAAAGGTATTGCATCCAACTACAACAAAAAAGTAAATATTTTAAAAATATATAACCTGAGACAACTGATCCTGAGCCTTATCCAAAGTCAGTGATTCACTGGACTACAGGAATTTAGTCTAATGAAGAAGATTAATACATATAGACTAAATTATAACACAGTGGTAAAAGTTGTGCCAACCAAGGTATAAACTGTTATAGAAAATGTATAAAATGTATAGGAAATTATAAATTCTACAAGATGAGGAAGGCTTCACAAAACACCATCTGAAAGAAGTCTTAAGGACTTCAATCTGATAGAATAGTTGCAGGCCACAGGAACAGCCTAAACTGATGAATTTTTGGTCCCTGAACTATTTCTAAGAATATCTCTAATTACATTAGTTTAAATCAATTTATCCTAAAAAGCTATTTGAGTTTGGCATTTTATCTAGTGAACTCCTGAAAATATGCAGATGATTATCTGCAGAATGGATTAGTTGCTATCAGACAGGATTTTCCTACCTCAGTTGCATGCCAAGTTTATAATTCCTAAATGTGGTGCTAATCTCAGTCTACTCCCCAGAAGCTTCTTTCCTCTTCAGCATTACTACAATAATGTGAAGTGCACTAAGGTCCTAGGATTTCACTGACAATGTCACACAGTTCCATACACATTTCAGTCAAGAACAAATGATTCATTTTAAGGACTAATACCTCCATGATGTAAAATGTAATAAGGTATATGCAAACCATCTACACGTACTACATACTGTAGATAACTCCAGAATTAGAAGAAACGTTAGGAAAAATCTAGATCAACCATATGACCCAAAGTGTCTACCATTCTCTTCCTCTCAGAAATTTAAGATCAGTGCTCAATAATTTAATCTCTCCTTGTGCTTGGAGTCAAGGAGCTGCTGAATAGCCACATTCAAATATCAAAAACAACAAACAAAAAAGACATAAATAAAAAAGGTCAGCTAAGAGAAAATAAAGATGCAAGGAGAGATAAGACTAGAGACAGGGAATGTTCCATGTTTTCAAATCCCTGGTCCCAGGCCCCACCTGATAAGGTCTGTCTGAACTTGGCTTCCAGTAGTCTTCCAACAAATTCCTTTCTTCCTTCCTTCTTTTTGCTAAAACTTGTTCAAGTTCATTTCTGTTACTTGCAAGGGAAACTTAAATGAGGCAACAACCAAAATTTTCCATAAAGTCAATTGACTGATTTTTACTGGTCTATGTTTTTTATAGTTTCTTTTTTTCTTTAATTCTATTCCTTCCTTAAAAACCACAAGTAGACTTTGATATACTATACAAATGAATATGTGAACAGGGATCAGAGCCTTTGCTAAGCATTTCGAAAGGAAAATGCATTATTCCCAGGAAACAGAAAACAATAGAACATTTAAATTAAAAACAAAAACCTTAAGTTATCTGTACAACAATAAGAAATGTTACCTAATAAATGGCCAATTAATTAGCTGATCACCCTCCTCTGCAAAGGTAACTTAATTCTGAATAAATCATACAGGTAGATCGATCCACTTCAGTCTTCTGTGGATCAAAAGGTGATACCCCAACATAGGTCATTTCATTTGGAATGCTTCCAGCTAACTAGCCACAGCCTTCTCAACCACAGAAGGTTTGGGAGCTCTCTGATGGTGTCCCTAACCTGAACCCCAAAACCAAAATTGAATATCAAAATGATGTTAGGGCCTGAACTTTACTATCCACAAAGAGCAATCGGGAATTTATCCTATAACATAACTAGCACTTTGTACTAGTAGATGAAGAGAAGAAAGTAATTGAAGTTTAATACTAAGGACTCTGTGTGTATGAAGACAATCTTGAGGCAGAATTGAGCTCCCCAAAGCTGTATGCACACCCATCAGATCTAACTACAATTAGACCAGCTTAACAAGTATAACAAGTCAGAAACTGACAATCAGAAGTTTGAACCAGATATGGTGGGTGGCTCTGCAGGGTTAAATAAACAAAAACAATATTATAGGATCCTGGAGTCAGAAGAGACACGGACACTATACCCAGCTTCATCATTTTACAGAGAAGGAAGCTAAACTCTGGAACTAAATTCATCAACCAAATCTCTAACTGTAATACATTAGACAGTTGAGAATAAAATCAAAGGGATTGTGACCAGTTTATGATAGAACTAAAAAGTATTATTTCCTAAGGTTGCTTTTGGATGATTTAGAATCTATGCTCAATAATTTAGTCTCTCCTTGTGCTTAATAAATACATATTAGAATAAACATGTATTAGAAAACTAATGAATCCTACTTTGCAGATAATCTTTGCATATTATCATTACTTGAGTAAAACAGTAAGGATTTCTGACTTAAGAGGTTAACATTTTAGTTATAATATTGAAATAAGCACCTTGAAAGAGTAAAAATAATAAGTTGATTTGAAATGTAAAAGTTTTATGTTGCAACCTTGGGGATGGGCAATATAGACACTGTAAAAAAGTTAAAATCTAGATGGCTAAAAGCTACTTATTTTAAAATAAGAAAAAATTCCAGACATTCACAAAAGGCCCTAGTAAAAGTCACCAAAAATTAGACTGATACACCAGTTGGGACCAAAATTAAAAGAATCTATGTTTAAAAGATCCAAATATAAACTTGTTAAAAATTACTGGCAAGGGGGCACATAGCAGTGGATTTGGGTCATCAAGGGCTATTTTACCAAAATTATTAGGTAAGTCAACAAACTGAGGTACGCGCATGTGCACGCGTGAGCACACACACAGCATACATATATTTCCTACAACACAATCCACTCTTTTTTTTTTTTTAAGAGAGAGAGAGATTTTTTTTTAATATTTATTTTTCAGTTTTCTGTGGACACATCTTTTCATTTCATTTTTATGTGGTGCTGAGAATTGAACCCAGCGCCCCGCGCATGCCAGGCGAGCATGTTACTGCTTGAGCCACATCCCCAGCCCACAATCCACTTTTTATCAGCCAGCACAGTATTTTTTAGAAGCCCATTGATAAAATGAGAAATTAGAACCTGTTGTTTGCCAAGAAGTGCTATCCCAAAACAAACATGAAACTGATATCATTGCTTATATTAGTATTTATAAGCTTCACATTTAATAGTTAAATATTGTAAATATCTGCCATTAATTCTAATTGACAGTTTTATATGTTCTAGGAACCGTGAAGATTGTTATACATAAAATTATCTTATAAAATCTATTTTGCTGCCTATGCTGCAAATGAAAATAGGATACTGAACCAGAGAATATAATCTATGTTTAGAAGAGTCAGCTTTCAACTAATTAATGTGTCCTACTTAGCCAAATCTTATTTTGACAGCTTAGTCTATTGATGACAAAAACAAAAGCAAACTGAAATCTCCTAAATAATCTCAGCTCTCAGGAACTGTAAATTTCTGTTCTTCCCATTCCAGACAAAATAGAGAACCAAGAAGCTTTGACGGCTAGTTTACTCATCACAAAAGAAAGAATTCACGCAATTTCACATTTACCTTAATTCCTCCTCAGTATTTTGTACATGCTTTGAAGAAAATTATCTTTTAAAACCCTTAAAGTTACGACTTAATGGCTTCTAGCCTTAAACCTAATAAGGTAGAATGAGGACTTTACATTCATAGTTTGACTTGAAACAGTTCAGTGTAAAACTTAAAAAAAAAAAAAAAAGACTTAAATGCTTTTTTCCGTTTAAAAACAAAACAAAACTGGTACCTGGCAAACTCGGGGATCTCTGCGATTTTTGGCCTATGAGATGCCAGCCGGGCCCGCGGGAGACTGGCCCAGCGGCGCAGGAGGCACGGAGGGAGGGCAGCGGAGTGGAGCCCCCGGGGGCGCTCCTCCGCGCCGCTCCCCGTCCGCCCCCGCCCGCCCGACGCCCCACTCCACAGCGTGATACGCGGCGGTGGCCTGGGCCTGGCCGGCTTGTTCCCACGCCCCGGGCCCGTTATCTGGGCGGCGACGCCCACGGGGCCAACTTGCGCAGAGTAGGGGGCTCCGGGACAGTCCCCTATCCCGGCCGCGGGCCCCGCGCCCCTCCCTCGCCACTCGCCGCTGTGGGGCCAGACCCCTCCCTCGGGCCCGCGCCGGGAAAGAGCCTCCCGCAGGCTCAGGTTCGCTCTGGGCATGGGGTAAGGTGTCAGCGCGGCGGCCAGGCGCCTTCCGTCGGCGGGGGGAACGCTGGTCAGCCTTGACCTCCTTCCAGTCAGCCCCTCACAGCCCGCGCGGGGCGCAACCTTCCCGCGCCCCTCCTAGGCTCGGGAAGGGGGTGTCCCTGCCAGAGGCTGAGGGGCGCAACCGGAGCTCGGAGGAGACCCGCCTTCGGGTCACACCCTAACTTGGTAGGGTCGGGTGGGAGGGGTGAGGCGAGGTGGGAAGGAAGACTGAACTTACCAGACTGCGCGGTTGCCCGCGCCGCGACCGCGGCCAGGCAAAGGCAGAGGCAGAGCGAGAGGGGGCGCGGGAGGGTCCACCGCGCGCTCATCGAAAGGCCAGGGAGCCGCCGCCGCTGTCCGAGCCTCCTCCTCCCTCCCCGGCTCCGGGCGACGGACGGGGCGGCGGGAGGCATGACGGGAAATTCCTGGGCACGGGCAGCCGAGTCCAAATATGAGCATAGGAGATGAGCGAGGGAGGACCGGGGAGCGCGCCGGCCGCGGACGGGGCCCGCTGCCCGGGCTTCGGCGGCCGCCAACTCCCGCCTCCAAGGCATCCAGCCGCCGTGCGCGAGCGGAAGGTGGGATTCCCCCTGCCCGGGAACATCTCTTCCAACTTTGAGGCCCAAGAGCAGAGCCCAGCACCCCACCCGACCCTTTTCAAGGTTCTGAGAGTCCTATACGACTGGGAAAAGGAGAAAACTATGTAGGGAGTGGACCGTGAGACAGTGACCTAGAGGAAGACCTGTCAGGGCTTGACAACCTTGGTAGTGAGGGGATAAAAAAATTCTGGCAATTACTATGTATGGGAAGGTAAGGCAGGAGCGGCATGGCCAGGTTGGGAATATCACTTAGTTGGTAGAGCACTTGCTTAGCATGTGTAAAGGCCTGGGTTCAATGCCCAGCACCACAAAAGAGAAACTGGATTTTTAAAAGTTAGGAGGAACAAAAAGGAAGCTGTGTTGCCATTTAAAATGTCTACATAAGTATTCTATACATACAGAACAAGCATTATAGTACAGATTACACCACCCAGGTGAGGGGGCCCCTGCCACAGTTGGGTGTGTGCACAGAAAGGTCTTTCTCCAAACTTGTATTTTGAACACCATATATGGAATCAGACAAGCTGACTGAACAATAGGTTTTCACAAGAGCTAGATGCTGAAGTTTACACCAGCCTTTCTCCACCTCCAACCTCCATTCGTCTCTCGCCCTCCAAACACACAGTTATTTCACACAACTCATCTTGTATTTATTGGAGCTTGTCTAAAGTGTAATGTTGAAATTTATTCAAAAAGTGCTACCTCTGATGACCAGAATGTCAGTCCCAGAGGGTTAATTACAGGCCCGAGCCTGTAGTTGCCTGACTTTTCTTTGGCACTAATTCCTAAAGTAATCAAGTCCAAATGACCTTTAGCCTTCCAAGACAATGTAATTATGTCTTAATTACTATATTTTTTTCACTTTAACAAATGGGACAGGACCCGGAGATGTAGGATGAAATATAATTACTTATGAACATTTTAAGATGCTACAGAAAAGATTTATTGATGCAAAACGTTTAAGGGGTAAATGTCAAATAGATTTAGAGGGTAGATTATTCTAATATGAACTAAAGTGGTGATAATTTGTACATAACACTATTTGTTTGAAAATGCTTTATTTGAAAATCAGAAAACTTATTTCAAAACAGCTTCAATTCTGGCAGACTACTTAGGCCTGTAAGCCAAAAATCAATCTATTTGCAAGTGATTCCCTTAAAACATCTGGAATTAAAAAGCACCACACCCCATGAATTATGCCTGGCAGATGGGCAGATTTCACCTTTAAACTTACTAACAGTGATAAGGAATCTAAGGAAGGGCAGGTGACTTAGATAAACTGATGGTAAATAAATTGTAATATAGTAAATAAACCAAATGACCCATAGCATTACTATTCAATTAGGTACCTAGAACCGGGTATTTGCAAGGAAATACCCAGGAAACTTGAGTATTCTTTTTTTTTTTTTTCTATATTTAATCTTGTATTACATAAGCATCTGTTTTTCTTACTGCTTCCAGAATACCTGGCACAATTCTTTGCCCATAGTTTAAATGTTTAAAACAAAAATGAGCACAGCCATTTGTAGACTAGAATCTAGGAAATTCCTAATAGAGAAAAGCATGTTTCAAAGGATTATAATAATTATGGCTACATTTAAAATATTTCTGTTGGATGACCTTAATTACTAAAATGTAAAATCATGAAGAATGCAATGTCATTACACCTTGATTTGTGTTTATAAGTGAAGAGTTAATTGATCAAATTTGCAGATTTTAATTGCTATTCTAAAGGCTTAAATTAAGTACGTAAATGAAGTTGAGAAAAGAACAGAAGTTCATGAGTTCATAAGTTAATGACCGTCACTAAGTTAGATGTTTTATACCTGATGTCTAATTTTAATCCTTACAAATCCTGTGAGTTTATTCTCTTCATCCCTATTTACAGCTAAAGAGTCTAAGATAAGTAGTATGCTACTAGGAAGGGGTGAGGTAGTATTGAAATTTAAACTGTTCCAAAGTGCATATACAGTTGTTTGTTTATTTTTTAAGTACCAGGGATCCAACCCAGGGTACTTAACCACTGTGGCACATCTCCAGCACCCCCAACCTTTTTTTAAATTTTGAGACAGGGTCTCCTTAAGTTGTTTAGGCCTTGCTAAATTGCTGAGGCTGGCCTTGAGCTTGTAATCCTTCTGCCTCAGCCTCTGCAGCTGCTGGTATCACAGGCCATATTTTTTACTATACTAAATTGTTCTATTTCCCCAACATTACCAAAAAAAAAAGGAGGGAGGACATTTAAAAAGTATACTCCTTGGGCTCTTCTGGTTTTAAGTAACTTTAAGTATTTACTCAGGTTACCTCAAGTACTAGAAAAGAATAGCAATTAAATAAAATGCTAAATTAAGACTGAAAAAGAAAAGAAAATGTAGAAATATGACCAGAAGTTTAACTGGTTTGTCAGATCATGCTTTTCGGATCTAGGGAATGGGTCCTATGACTTTAATAACTGGGAAAACAGGAAAGGTGCCACCTTTATATCATCCTCTTACAAGTTTTATAGTTTAACCATTAATATTTTAATCATATATTTCACGATGCTTTCTCTAATGTCTTTTTCATTGTATCCTTAGTAACAATCATTTTAACATAATACTTTGACCATTGATTTTAAAGGATCAGGAGACATAATCACTTCCCCTGCTGCCTATACTATCCCTCCCCCTCCCCAGTGGTGTGCTGGTAAACATTTAACAACCATATCTGGACCCAGAGGTATGGAGGAGGTGCGAATTTGTAGCATTAACCAATTTATGGGATGTATTGGTAATATTCTTACCAATTTAATGTCTCTGAGGCAAAATTGGGAAGCTAACTCAGCATAGTACTAGAGCCAGCTCTAGAATACTACTGCTCCAACTCTTCATAAAATGTCTTGAGAATACAATAATCATCCAACCACAGTTTTGTCTCTCTACCTATCTTTCCACTTCTGCTCCCATACAGTCCTCTCACAATCAAATGCCCTCCAGGAGAGAATCTTATTCTTTCACCATTCTTATGAGTCTGTAGACTGACCACCCCTGAGCCAGGTGCCCTCTTCTAGTTCTTCAGCTGTGGCTAAAATGTGAGAGTCACATGGTACAGAACATGGTCAGCTATTTGCTGAAGAAGCAGACTATTATGGGGCCATGCTTAAGGCAGCCCTGTTCAAAAGGAGTGTGTAAGCATGACAGGTACCCAAGCTGTAACCTAATATGCTTTTCTAGTTCTTAAATAAAATCCTCTCTGCCACTGCACAAAGCTTTGGGACAGTCCTCTTCCCACATCCTCCATGGAACTGGATGGATACCAATGACTACAAATGGAAAATGGATGCATTAGGACTAAATACCATTCCAAAGCCTCCAGCCAAAGAGAAAACTCTTAAGTTGGTGCTTAAATTCACTGGACATATATCGAATGCCATTGTTTTAAAACAATTAATGATCAATTGGAAAGTGAGGGTAATACTCTTAGGGGGATGAAATATACTCTCTATAGGAAAATTTTTCAAACCACAATTTCAAACTGCAAAAATTCTGTGTTTCTATCCCAGGAAGTAGAATGCTATCACTCTCAGCTCTTCCGAGAACACTATTGTAAATGGATGGAATTGTGCCTCCTGCCTCAGTTTGCTGCAGTGGAAATAGGGCTGAAAAGAACTATTTTCAACAACACAAGGGACACACTTGTATTTTTCTCTCAGATTCTGAAATGATGTCATGTCCATCACCATGACATAATTTCATCCATCAGTCACCAAATATTCTAAAATCCCAAGAGCTGTCTACCAGGAAATCAGGTGGGTCTTCTAAACAAAGAAGACTAAAGAGAGCATTTCTCTTATTTTAATGGTAAAATGGTTTGTCTGCATCTCAGATGGCCTCTTCAGATACACAATTGAAGCCTTTGTGTTGATTAATTTTGAAGAAATTTGAAATGATTGATATGCTGCTGATTCTACCAGCTTTGGCTTGGATATACCACAGCAAGTAATATATATTTAACAAGATTTTAAATATTGTGAAGAATAAAGTAATCCTCTCTAAACCAGCAAAGCTGCTTGGCTTTGGGCAAGATTTTTTAATGTAAAGTGATACATGCAAAATCAACTGGATACAAACATGGAATGGTGGGGGCAAGAATTAACTTTTTAAGTGGTACAGGAATATTCTGCTATTCATTCTATTTTTTCACTCAGCCTTGTTCTTAAGTGCTTCTTAAGAGCATCATACCACATGGTATGTGTCCAGTGTCTAAAAGTGTGTGTTTTCCACACAACTAATCCCTTACTGCAAATCAGCTCTTTCATCTGTTATTCGTCCAAAGTGGCTACTCTGAACCACAGATGGAAATTCTGGCCATTTCCTAGGAAATGGTATGTTGTTTTCCAAAATAATGCCTCCTTAAAGGGATTTTCATAGTTTTACCTTGGCCTAACTTTCATCCATGTGAACTGTGGACAGAGCCCAGTCCCTACATAAAATGAAGCTCTACTCAGGCATCAAAGGCTTGGGCTTTGGCATCAGACAGATCTAGATTAAAGTGTGGCTTCCAATATCAAATCTTCAGGACAGCAGGCAAGTAGGTTATCTAAGCCTTTATATTCTTATCTATAAAATGGTAAATAAAGGTAGCTAGTACACATGGAGCTTAGTACTTAGTCCCATGCTAGCACATGGTAAGTACAAAACAACTATTAATATAGTTCTAGTATCATTTTTTTACCAACTTTCAATCACTACAAAGTCACTCTTTGCCTTTAAGCCTTATCTGATATGATTTCCTGTCTGACATGACTCAGTTTCTCTTTGCAGCTCATAGTCCCACATTTATA